TTTTTTTCAAAGTCAATTGTTCATGAGAAAAAATTGAATTTGGCGTCAATTCAAATTTTTTTCAAATTTCGAATTTTCAAAGAAAACTTTGAATTTTGGCGGCAAATCAAAAAATTCAAATTTGAAAATTCGCAATTTTCAGCATCAAATGCATCGTCTGACCCGTTCCGTTTTCAGAACAATGGAATTTCCTATAAGGTACGTTTTTTTTTTTGAATTTAGCGCATTTTTGAGAGAAAATGGCAAATGCGCTCTATTGAGAAATTGTGCTCTGTTGAGAAATGCGCTCCGTTAAGAATATGCGCTCTATTGAGAAAACCCGCTTTATTGAGAAACTGCGCTCCGTTGAGAAACTGCGCTCTATTGAGAACACTGGTGATTCTCAATAGAGTTCGATTGCATTCCTCACGGATCCCGATGCGGTTTGACCTGGGGCCTGTACCAGGATCTCCTTGATCACACAAAAGAAAATTCGCTCCATTGATAAATTTCTCAATAGAGCGCGAATTCTCTGTAGAACGAAGTTTCTCAATAAAAATAAAATCTCGTGATTCGAGGTTGAGGGTGCCGTGCGAATCGTAAGAAATCGTCAAAAAAAAAAAGAAAGTTTGCTCTAATGATAAATTTCTCAATAGAGCGCGTTTGCATTTCTAACAAACTAATTTCCATATTTTCCAGGGAAAGCTGATCGGAGAGCAGGATGTGGACAAGGCACGTGGAGACGCGATGTGCGCAGAAGCGATGCGGACCGCCAAATCCATCATAAAAGCCGCTGGAGCCCACAAAACCCGTATCACCCTCCAAATAAATATCGACGGAATCAAGGTGCTCGACGAGAAGTCCGGTGCCGTCCTCCACAATTTCCCCGTATCCCGAATCTCGTTCATCGCCCGTGACTCATCAGATGCCCGCGCGTTTGGACTCGTTTATGGAGAGCAAGGAGGTAAATACAAGTTCTATGGAATCAAAACGGCACAGGCGGCCGATCAGGCGGTGTTGGCGATTCGAGACATGTTCCAAGTGGTTTTCGAGATGAAGAAGAAGCAAATCGAAGCCGTCAAACAGCAACAGATTCAGGATGGTGGAGCGGAGCAGAGTGTGAGTTTGGGGGGTGTTTGGTAGGGCTCCGAGGCTCAAAATTGGGCATTTTCTGCTAGTTTTTCTCCGAAACATCCTCAAAATCTATTTGGCCCGGAAAAAGATTCATATTTGGTCATTTTTGGATTATTTTTAGACCAAAAATGCAATTTTTAGCCCTTTGCCCAATCCGTAGACTCAAATTTAGGGATTTTTAGGCCAGATTAATTCGAAAACTGCTCATTTAGAGAGCTCAAAGACAATTTCATTTCGGGCATTTTATGCCAAAAGTGGGCTTTTTTTTTGCTAATTTAGCCCAAAAAATTGCTCAAAAATGTAAATTTCATAGATGTTATTCGGCAAAATTTATAGTTTTTTCCCCCGATTTTGACCAAAACAAACGGATTTTTTTTTCCAAAAATTGCTCTAAAATCCCTAATTTTCTGGTGGAAAATTGAAGGAATTTACCTAAAAATTGTTCAATTTTCGCCAAAAAAAAAGAGAAATTCACTGATATTTTGGTCAGAAAGCAATTAATTTACTGCCAATTTTGAGAAAAAATCAGCATATTTTTTGTTAAAATTTGACGATTTACGGTGAAATTTGAGCCAAAAAATTGCCCATTTTTCGACTCGAAATACTAGATTTTTTGTAGAAATTCGCTGTTTTTTGAAACTGACTTCTGGAGCTTTTGGGACACGAAAAATAAGCCAAAAAATGCGCGAAATGCTCTTTTTAAGGGTTTTAGTGTCCAAAAACACAAAAAAGTGTCATTTTCAAATTTTGGAACTTTCAAAATGACATAGATCCTTCTCGAATTTCAGCGATTTTCCAGCGAAAACCAGCAAAAAATTGCTCATTTTCGTTTTTTTTTGGTCCGAAATATTGCTTTTCTGACGGAAAAATCCGTTTTTTTGGCTAATTTCCGATTTTTACGACCCAAAAACTCCCAAAATGATTTAGATCCTCGATGTAATACCTCCCGAATTATGATGATTTTTTTGGTTTTATGCCTAAAAATCGCATTACTGACCGAAAAAATCTAAACCGCTACCCAAAACAACCCTTCCCCAAGTTTCAGGCAAAAAAAGAGGGCGGAGTCGCCGTGGCGGACCTCCTCGATCTGGAATCCGAACTGCATCAAATCGAACAAGGCGTCCAACAACTCGCTACCGTACCCACCAACTGTGACGCCTTCGGAGCCTCCCCATTCGGTGATCCATTCGCCGATAGTTTCAACACGACAGCCACGTCCAACGGAACAAATCTGTCCCAAAACATGTCCGGTTTGTCCGGACATCCACATTTCGGAGGGATCCAACTGGCTCCACCACCTCCACAACAGAACTGGCCTAACAGTGGATTCGACGCCGCGTGGGGTGCCCAACCAGCCCCAGCCATGCACCACGCCCACAGTACCCCGGCATTCGGATCCAACGGATTCTCGGATACCAATCCATTTGCATCCGCTTTTGGAGGATCTGGAGCTGCTCCAGGAGCTCCTCCACCACTCCCGGCCGCTGCTCCGGCTCACTCTCAGTACAGGGATCCATTTGCTGTGAGCGTGCCCGCCGCGAGCTCCACAATCGACTGGAATGGCACTGGAATGGGCGGCACTAAGGAGAATATGGCGCCTCAGCAACAGCAGCTGCAGCAACCACTTCATCACGCCAGCACTTTTGCCAATTTTGGCGATAAGTGAGTTTGAGGGCAGGGGCGGGGCTTAATGAAGGGGCGGAGCCTGGACGTGAGCTCTAGGGGGGACGGCGGAGCGAAGGGCGGAGCTTAGTATTCAAGCAAAGGGGCGGGGATTAGTCCCAAGCTAGAGGGGGCGTGGTTTAGTCCCGCGATTTTGAGCAAAGGGGCGGTTCTTAGGATTCGAGCAAAGGGGCGGAGCTTAGGGCTGATCTAGGACACCCCATTCAGATTAGCCAGGGACCTTCAATAGAAAGGCATCTCTGGTTCGGGGAAAGGGGCGTGGCTTGTCCCCACTCTAGAAGGGGCGGAGCTTGGCTTTAGGAGGCGGACCTAGACTTGAAGAAAGGGGCGGAGTTTAGGGTTTGGTCCTAGCCTTGTATTCACAAGGAAAGGGGCGGAGCTTGGTCTTGGAAGGAGAACCTGGTTCCAGACTTGAGGAAAGGGGCGGAGCTTAAGATGATTAAGGGCGCCCCCGTTTGCAAAACCAATATTTTGTGCCCCTCCTAACCACTACCAAGATTCAGAGCCGACAGCTGGACGACCGCCGAGAAAAAGGTGACATCACTGGAGGAGGCATTCACGAAGCTGGTGGATATGGACGCATTGGTTGGTGGACAGGGAGTCAAGGAGACGAAGAAAAATCCATTTGAGCACATTTTGAATCCACCAAAGGTGAGAATTCGGGAAAACGCGATGAAATTGTGTGAAAAACGATCCGAAAAACATCGGAAAAGGACCATTTTGAAGATAGGAAAATCTGGCGGCCTAACTTTCCAAGGCCGTGGCCTAGAATTCCGAATTGGGTACCATTGGAAAGCTAGGTTCTAGACGATCTTACTGGTGCAAAAACGAAGTTTCTAGCTCAATTTTGAAGGGAGTTATGCGCCTTTGAAGTTTGGAGGTGAAACGGCAGAGAATTAGGCACTCGTTTTCTCTGCGTCTCTCACTCTCTCGTCCCAAACTTCGAATTCGCATAACTCGCTTCAAAATTGAGCTAGAAACTTGGGTTTCGGGCCAATTCGACCGTCTAGAGCCTAGCTTTCAAATGATACCAAATTTGAAATTCTAGGCCACGGTCATAAAAAGTTAGGCCATCAACTTCAAACGCGCATAACTAGCTGTTAGATCGAGCTAGAATTTTCGTTTTTTTTTATAATCTTGCTTGTCTTGGGCCCAGTTTTCGAATAATACCAAGTTCGCAATTCTAGGCCACGGCCATGAAAAGTTAGGCCACCGAATTCCAAAAGTCCCCAACCATTTTTTTTCCAGGCCTCCCTGAACTCAATGTCATCGACTTGCTCCGCCGCCGCAGCCACCCAACAACAGCACACTGCTCCATCGCATGCCGATCCATTCGGTGATGACTTCTTCCGATAAGCTCCGCCCCCTTTTTCTAACCACGCCCCCTTCTAATTGACCTCATGTGCCATAGAACAACAACGAGCACTTTTTAAAAATCATTCTTCATGTGTGTAAATTGTAAAATTGTTTGCGTTTTAGCCCCGCCCCTTTAAATATTTAGTTGGCCCCGCCCCCTTCTTCAAAATAGACCGGTGACCCTTGTCCTCAAATTCTGGCCCCAAACATTTCCTCTCTTGTTTTCATTTCATTTCTATGACTTCTTTTTTGAATTTTTCTGAAAATTTAAGCTAAGCTCCGCCCCCTTTTTTAGTACTAATTTTATATATATATTTGCATCCAATGGACCATCATCATCCCAAAAAAATTATTTTTTTTTGAAACATCATCTCTGTGATATTTTAGGCCCCGCCCCCACCCAACATCGATCCACTGTCAATCTCTTTTGCCACGCCCCCTGTCCTCAAGCCCCGCCCCCGCCTTATCTATATTATATTTTATATTGTCAGTTTGTTGAAAATATGAACATTTTCTTGTGAGAAAATCGAAAGAAAGTTTAGAAAAATGAGGTGTAACGGGCGGCACAGGTGGCGTCCTCGATGGATTTGCACACGCAGACGTCGTACCAGGCGTTGGAGATGGACTGCTCGGAGCAGTTGACCAGAGAGCAATCGGGCCCCTGGAAGCCCGAGGGGCACGAGCAGGAACCGCTGGAGGTGATGGGGGTGCCTCCGTTTTGGCAGACTGAAAATGGAAAAATGAAAAAATGGTTTGACCACCGAGGGGATGGAACTCGGGACCCGAATTTTGGAAGACAGGCCTGTTAGCCACTAGACTATGTGGACAAAAAATTAAAAAAAAAACGATTTAACCACCAAGGGGGTTGAACCCGGGACCCTAAGCTCGAAAGACAGATGCGTTAACCACTGAGCCACGAGAGATACCCTTACCTGGCGCCGAAGTGGTTCCGAATGGGAAGAAGCGGGTGAATGTCTTCGAGCCATCTGAGTTTTTCTTGATGGTCACCTTGGCGATGTTGGCACCGGGTTTGTACTTTTGAGAGGCGAATACACTGTAGGCGGTGTTGGTGAAGGTACATCCGTTGCGACCGGCGTTTCTGGAATTTTCGCTCTTAGTTTGAAGGATAGAAGAGGCCGCGACGCAACCGCGACGCCCTGGAGAAACCGCAACGTGACCGCAACGCTCCGGAAATGCCGCGACGCGATCGCAGCGCAACTGAGACCTTCGGAACTCAATTTCTTCGAGCGCGCGAGGTCGTCAACAACAAACCTAGTGATTCCTCCATCTCCATCATTTGCTACAACACTGTATCCTGGTTTAATATTGAAAGTGAGCATAGTTCTAGCATCCGAGGTTGATGTAGAGACTGCATCAGAGCTATCCTGGGATAAGCTTGAAATGATCTGTGCCTTGGGTGCCAGGACGTCATCCAGAAGGTAGACAGCGACGTAGAATGGATTTCCACTAGCGACGCCTCCCAAAACCTAAACTACTGAATTTATATAAATGTATGATTTCATAAATCACCGTGTGATCTCCTTGGAGTTTACAGAAATATGAAGCATTTACAGCGTATATGCACTTTTTGAAATCGTTGGGATCCGGTTTGTTGTTCACTGAAAGTTGATTATAGACATTTGGCATGATCAATGAAACGCACGAGCTTCCAATTCTAGACCGGATCCCCAGGTGATGAGATAATTAACGGTTGTTGGCTTATCTGCCACAATCGGGAAGTTTCCGTATTGGGAGGATGAGAGCCAAGCAATTGACGAGGAGGATTGAAGAAGAGAAGGAATGAACTGAAAAAATAAATTCTTCTAGCAAGCATTGAATAAATATCTTACTGATTTATCAATGAAAGTGGTTAATTCGTCAGTGATAAATGAATGAATCAAGAAGCCACCGGTAGACATTGCTGCTTGGACGATACTGTCATTACCCAACAATTTACCGGGTGAATTTCCTTCGTTGATGGCATATACGAACAGTTGCTGCTGGTACGGTTGGGATGCAGTGATGAAGTCGTTAAGGGTCACATTGATCATGCTAGACGCTTCAGTGTAATAGACGATAATTCCTTTCACATTTCTTCCGATTCCTGCATGGACAAATCAAAAACTATCATTGAACAAAAATGTGCAGAGCTTACCCTGTACGGCTCTCTGGTAGATACTAGTCAAATCGTGGACACCGTCGGCAGCCGGTACTTGACAAGCTCTATAGGTGTCGGCGTACTTGACCAGCATGTCTTGGAAATCCTTTAGATCAC